TGACTAACTAAAAAGGAAAAATCGTGTTTTCGAGTATGATTATTTGGATATGGTAATTAAAATAATATACAAGTTGGCTTCTTCTCTTCCTTTCTAATATGTATAATGGCCTAGAATCAAACCCCTCAAACAGCACAAACATATATCTAGTAAGGCTTTAATCCAAGGACAAAACAATAACACAAATTTTTAAAACTTTAGAGATACAAATTGTGATAAAGACAGTGAAAAGTAATAATGAAAATTATGGTGTGACATGTGTGTAATAATATGGCTATCCCTAGTCCACCATATTATATAGTGAAGCATTGAAGAAATGTTGCTCTATGGAGGCTTTAAATTTTCAAGTTGCCTTAACTTTAGTGGATCCCTATAGTGTGACAAATTATTTTGATCATTTTTGCTTTATCTTTAGATTCAAAAAATGTATGAATCTCTAGTTTTATATCTTTCTCAAGCTTTACGCAACCCCCACCCAACAAAAAAAATAAAAAAAAATAAAGAACGAAAAACCAAGAGCATAATTCCAAGTTTCTAATACAAGCAAAGTTTGAAATCATATTCTTAGATTTGCTTCCTCCTTCCACACATTCTTGTCTCTCCAATGTTGAGATCGAAAATCTTTTGTCGATAGTTTAAATGTTCGGTTTAGTCTAAAGTGTAATTTAACGCCAGTTTGATTAATGAAGGTTCCTTATTTATTTTCAAATATTAAGCTCGTCTACTAATAATTTCTTAATCTAAAAATGAAGCATAAAAACTCAATCGTTCTAGTGGTTCACAATGAATTTTAATTAAAAGAATTTAAAAGTATTTTACAATCGATTTCACTTTTCAAAAGATTTAAATGATGTGCATTAAAATCCTTTTTCTGTTTTCTTTTAATACAATAAGGGAGATGTGGATTCAAACTCATGACTTATTGGTTGGAGGTAGAAGTTCATATTAACTAGCTTAGCTATATTGAAGCGTTTGATTTATATATGAACTTAAATGTATATAGGTTAAAGAGCATTTTATTATTAGATAATTTGTTTTAAATCATAGTGGAGGGGTTGTGGACTAAAAAACTATTACTTTTGGAATTGGTTGATGGAGACTATAACTACCAAACATCAAAGAATCTAACTACCCTCCAATATATACAACATGCAATAAAGATAAAAATAAATAAAAATAAATAATCATGTCTTCTATTATGAACAAGCAAAAATGAATATATCACTTTTTGACCCCTCTCTCTCTCTTGCATATGTCATGCTTTCTTCAATGAGAGGAGAAATTTTAATGGCCATTTCTTTTTTCTACTAAAAAGAAAAACTTTTCATGTTTTCAAATCGTCACCGCTCCCACGGATAAAAATTTGACACTTTCTTTACTTTTCGAAAAAAAAAATCTAATTTTCTACCTTTCTTTCTTCTACTTGTCAAATATTTAGTGGTGGTCAGTGATGATCGATAAACAAGATTGTTTTTATGTTTTTTTTTTTTTGCTTGAATATATAAATTTAACACAGAGTAGTATAAAATTGGAACTTTTTTTAGAAAATCAATGAAATTAAGAATAACAATGAGGACTAATTTCATGGAGTTGCCGTGGAATCACTCTAAAATTAAAGCTTTTCCTGTGAGTGGGCTTTCCATTTTTTGCTCTCTTTCTTTTGTTTTATTTTAAAGATGAAAGAGTAAGTTGTGTGCCTTTAATCATAGTAAAAAAAATTATTTTAATGGTTAAAACTTAAAACTAATTTATGCATAGAAATGTTATGTTTGGCTACAATTTTGAGGGGTTTTTCCCCTGAAAAAAGGGAGAATACTTGAATATAGTTTCAACTATGTTTATCTCACACTTACTTTTCTTTACACATTTTTTTCCCACTAATCTCTCTTTTACTGTTATCTTGAATTGTTTATTTTTACTACCTTAATTATTATCTCTGTTAAATTTAAATGGTGGGGTCGATTATCTTTAATTATTGCTTATTTGAATTGGAATTTGAATTTAAACGACACTCGTTTCCAAAAATCTAAGCTCATTATGTTGAAGGAAATTTTGCTTTATGGAAATCTAAATAAATCAAGATTTGATTGATTGAATTTGATTTTAAATTTTGATTAATTTTCTTCCCRTAATAATTTGATTCGGATTCCCCTTTTGAATCCAAGTGATTTACCAATTAAAGGATAAAAGGGTATGGTATTTGGGAGTGTTTTGAAGGCAATTCAATAAAAAGAAATATGTATTCTTATTGTGACCGATTATTATTGATGAAAAGGGTTTAATGGTAAATTACTCTAGAAATGCCTTATCGGTTAGAAAGATTAATGACAATAAATAGATACAGTGAAAAAAACGTTTATAGGATTAAGGCGTGCATTTGCCTTGAAAAAGTGTGCATTAAGAAATAAAGAAGAAAGAAAGTAGGTGTAAATGACAAATTAACAAGAACTAAAGTGTCGGTAAAAAGAGAAACACAAATTTTTATTAGTTTGTATCATCCGTGTTAATGTTAGAGTAATTTGATAGACTAGTGTATCACCACGTGCAAGGTACGTAATATTTTTTTTATTTCATTTTTCATTAATAAAAATATCACTATTTATTGAAAAAAAAATATATCAAAATTAAAAAACTTGAAAGAAACATTTATAAATGAATAGGATTATATAACTCAATTTTTGTTGGTGAAATAATGTTGGAAGAGTATAAAATTTTTCAAGAAAGTAAAATGATTTTTTCACATCCAATATTTTTAAAATTCTATACATTTATTAGGTGCATTTAAATTTTCATTTTATTCAAAATTGATTTCCTTTTTACTTAATAAAAATATGACTGATTTTTTCCCTAATTAATTTTTAGCATTAAGAACATTTTTCTTTAAAACAATAGATACTCATAAATTTATGTCTATAAGTTAATTTTACTTATTATATTTGGGTATTTAATAAAAAAAATATAATAATTACTGTAATAAAAATTATTATATTATTATATTTCTATAATATTTATTTTTAATCCACTTTTAATTTGTTATATTAATGTTAATGAGTAATAATAAATTTAAAATAGAAATATATTTAGAGTTTTAATTTAACGGCACAAAATATTCCTATGCATAATAGAATATCATTTTTTAACTACTTTTAATTTGACAATTACTAAAAATATGCTATTTCCTTTAAATCAAACTCAACAAATAAAAATAATAGCATTATTGCTTAATGGTGGTAGAAGATAATTTTTTTTATTTTTTTTAATCTACAAATAGGAGAGAAAATTATCATCCATATATTACATAGAATAAAAAAATCATAACTGTAAAATAATTTATAACATTTATAAGAATGATTAATACGTTAATTTCTCAGAAATTGTCCACCTTCGATTAATGTTTGAGATCAAATTGTAAGATTCAATGACTTCTACTTATAAGCAACATTGTTCTGCAACTCTTATAAATAGAGATGCTCAACGTGCTACGCCATTGTGTACTATGACGATACTAAATCTATATGTATAAAATTTAAAAGAATTGATCAAGAAATGAAAAGAAGCAAACTAAGGAAGAGAGCTAAATTATGGTGGGAAGAAGGGAGGAACTCATATATATATATATACACACATATGTAGGGAATGGATATGAGTTGAAAAACTTTTGAGATTCCAATAACTTTTAATTCCATTAATTTCAATTAAAGTAAAATCATAAATTGTTAGGAGTAAATATAGGTAACTTTTCATATTCATAACTTTTATGTTTTTATTAATTAAAGTTATTAGAAATAAGAGATGACATTCTTAGTAAATTAAAATGGATAGGTTGGTAGAATAGTCCAAAAATGTTTTTCCAAGATACTCCTTTTTTAATATAGTATAGATAGGTACCTTATAGAAAAGAGAATTCGAACGGTACATTAGAATAGTAGGCTCGATAATCGTAGATGTATATACACATATAGAAAGAGAATTTCAATTGGACAGAGCATGTGCTACGATTTCAAATTCTTAGTTAAATGAATTATTTTAAAAAAATAGTTGCAATTTCATAGAATAGTTATTTTAGAAAGAGTTGCAAATTTCAAAAGGCTTTCATCCATTAGTCTATATGGTTATATATTATGCTATGTTTAAGAAAGAAATAAATAATGGTCACATGCTCGTGCCTGTGCCTATATTTTATTTTTTTTTTTAAATAATGGTCACATGCGATTTCTGAAGTTGGGCCTTTTAAGTTACTAAAAAACGATTTTTAAGGCTTGGGCCTACCCAACATATTTCTCATTGGATTCCATATCCACTAAAAATTAAAACAGATTCTTTTTTCAATACTAATAATAAAACGGATTACTCCACCAAAAGACTACTTCAAAATGATAATAATAATAATAATAAAAGGGATTATATAAGAGTTATATATAGTATATATTTTGAGTTGAAAGGGAATTTGGAATTGTAATATTTTGATAAATGATATACACCTTAATCAATTCCTATGCTGAAGTTGATTTTTATTTTATTTATTTTTTACATACAAACTTTTAAGATTGGGATTAAATTAACTATTTTATTATCATAGTTAAAATCTTGTATTTATGATATATTCAACTTTTTTTTTACCTTGTTTAAAAAAAGATCTTCTTTTTTCACACAAAAGTTTAAAGAGTAGAATAGAATTTAAATTTAAAATAGTATTTTGATCACTGTATTTTCAGATTTTATTCACTTTATTCCTCTAGTTTTGATTTTTATACTCAATCCACGTTGATAGAATTTTAACACAATGGAAACATTCTAATATAAAATTATGGTTACATTTCTATTAAACTTCGTTATTTAAAAAATGAGATAAAATTAACTTCAAAAGACCAAAATAAAAAGATACAGAAACGAAAACAAATGTTTCGAAAACAAAAATTAGAAGTATTATTATAACCAAAATCTTTTTATGTGATAAATGGGTAAGTATAACTTAGTTGAACTACCACTTCCATTCGCCCTTCTCACAAGGCTATGTTTGGTGAGGGAAAAAAAAAAAGAAAATTTATCTGTTTTGAAAGTTGAGATATATAAATAAAACACATATAATACCCAAAATCTACTCTTCCAATGGCACTCCCAGACCATCATCAGATCAGAATCCACCCAGTTGCAGATCTCGAACAGCCGCCGCCGGAGAAGGGCCGCCAGCAACTCCAAATTGTCCCTCCAAAGAAGAAAAGGTATTCGTGTTTGTGCAGATGGTTGTGTTGGAGCCTCTCCATTATTTTGGTTCTACTGATCGTCGTCGGAGCCGTCGTCGGAATTCTGTATCTCGTTTTCAAGCCTAAGATTCCGGCGTACTCCGTCGACTCCTTGAACATCAGTGACCTCCGCCTCAATTTCGACATGTCGCTCTACGCCAGGTTTGCCCACGTACACTGCGGACTTCAAATTTTGTAGCTATATTATTTTATATATGGACAAAGTTTTACCTCCTAAAATTTTCACAGAAAAATTAGAGAAGAAGTTTGAATATATATTTTTACCTCTTAATGTTTAATAGTACATTTTAATATTTTTCTCATTATACCATTTTTATTTTGGTAAATATTAAAATTAGTTTACCATCAATTTAGAAAAATATTTGTAAGCTTGATATCTTGTCCTAACTACTATGCAAACGTAACGTCTGAGAAGTGAGGGAAGTATAAAAATAAGTATTTTTTTTTAAATAATGGGCTGCTAATTTTTTTATTAGTGATTAGAATATAAGAGATAAATTATCACCCATGAGGACGCAAGTATTTTCTATAAATTTATATAATAACATATTTATAGAAATTTAGAGGATAGATTAATTAAGCCGCATAAGAGAGGAAACATTAAAATTTATGCCAATTTCTTAAAAATTTGGAGGAGATATTAGAACCTATATCCTATTTTAGTAAGTAGTATATCTTATAAAAATTTAAATACTCTTTGTATTTTTGAAAAACAGAAGAAAAAAAATTAAAATCTCATTATTTAAATTTATCTCTTTTATTTTTAAAAATTTTAATGGCAGTCAATAGATAGTGAAAGATTGTAGGACAATATTTAAGTTGTTCTGAACTTAAATGAGACAATTCCTCACTTCTTCCTTCTTGGCTCCGCTCTTGCTTGTAGGTTCGATGTGAAGATAACGGCGTACAACCCGAACGAGAAGATCGGAATATACTACGAAAAGGGAGGAGTTTTGAGCGTTTGGTACACTGAGAACAAGCTTTGTGAAGGGTCACTGCCGGCGTTCTACCACGGCCACCGGAACAAGACGGCGTTGGACGTGGATTTGACCGGGAGGACGGTGTACGGAAGCACTTTGATGGCGGCGCTGGTGGAGCAACAGCGGACGGGGCGCATCCCGCTGCAGCTCCGGGCGGCGGCTCCGGTGGCCGTGAAATTGGGGAAGTTGAAGCTTAAGAAAGTTAAGATCTTGGGGGAATGCTTGTTGGTGGTGGATAGCTTGACTGCCAATAATGCCATTAGTATTAAAGCTAGTAATTGTAAATTCAAGTTAAAGCTCTAATTTTCTTTTTTCCTTTTTGGAAATTTGTCTAGGGATTTTCAATTCTACTCTTTATCTTTTTTTAATATTCTAATATCTTCATATATTTAGTTAATTTTTGAGTCACGTCGAGGTGGAGGTAGAAATTCAAACTTCCGAACTTTTGATCGAGAATATATATTGTTAGCTATGCTCGAGTTGGCCTTTCATATATTTTAGTTTTTTATTTTATTTATTTGAGTTAATTATATATTTTTGAAGGGTATTATTTTTCATTATTTATGATTAATTTGATGTTATATGTATGTGATTGTGTCATCTTCCCTTTTTAGTACAATAAGTCTGGTGGACGAATTTGAACTTATGACCTCTAGAACAAAGGTAGATATCAATGAAGCATCATGATTACATATCATGTCATCTTTAATACTATCTTTATCATTATCTTTTTCATTACTCATCTAATAAGAATAGGATGTTGTAACTTGTCCACGTACTTATATTATTTATTAGACAAATGAATAAAATATATGTTTACATAATTTTATGTAACATTAAATTTGAAAATTAAGATAAAATATTTGAAAGTTTGGATACCAAAAAAATTGGAATAAGCGCCGCGATGTTTTAGAATCAAAACAAGATTTGAATGACTTTCCCTTATTTTTTAGTCCACTTATTTTTACATTTAAAACTTTTTAGTGACGTTGATATAGTTTCAACAAAAAAAAAAAGTGGTGTTCATGATATATAGCTTTAAATAAGAAATATTTTTTAAAATATTGTACGTCTTGGAACTTAATTTCCTATGAACGTTTTAGATTTAATTATAAGCTTCGTACGTGAACTTTCAAGGTTCTCATACTTCAAAGTTATAAAAAGTACTACAAAGTTAAGGTTTTATATCTAAAATTATTTAATTTTAATGTTGTGTACTCTAAATTTTTATTAATAGGTTTATGAAATATCACAATTGTTGAATTTATATGATCTCCGCAATTTAAAAAGTTTTTGGTGCCGTCTTTTAAACTTTGTGAATGACCTATTAAATATAAAATAAAATCTATTAGAATATCCTTTTAAATATAAAAACTAAATAGACACAATATTAAGAATTCAATGATCTATTAGAATTTTTTGTCAAAGTAAATGAACTAAATAGACTCAATTCTAAAGGTTTAGTGATCAAACTTGTAATTTAACCTATTAACAATCCATTAGAAAGTTTATTCAACTAAAGATAAAAAAAAAAATCATTATCATTAAGAAAATCTAATTAACATTACACTAACCAACCTAATTTGAATATATTATTTATTTTAATTTATAATATCTTTTAATATATTTTAGAGCTAGAATATTTTTTTTAATACAATATGTATAATTCAAATTCATGATCTTCTAGTCAAACATATGTATGCCTTAACCTCGAAGCTATGTTAAGTTAGCATAGATCTAATATCTTTCATTATATGCAAAGAGTTGTTTTAATAATATTCAGAAAATTAAAACCAACTATAAATTAACGAAGGAAGAGAAGCAAGATTTAAAGTTTAGAGAGTTATATCATCGCTCAATAGAATTCAACTGGCTATAGCAATCATTCAAAGGTTGAAATCTACCATCCACTCCTTATTTTATCTAAAACAATAGCAACTTTGTAAATTATTAAAAGTAGTAGAATATTGTTTACTTCCATAGAATGTGGTTGAAAATTTTCAATAAATGAAAAATGAAAAAAAGGGGGACAAACTTAATTTTAAAAAGAGAGAATAAATTTATAGTAGTTGGTTTTGGAGAATAGAGTCCCATAGAATGTGGTTGAAATTTTTTAATATATTTGTATTATTTAAAATTTAATTAATTATACTTATTTTAGTGGCATATTAAACTCATTGTGAAATTAAAAGAGAAAATATACTATTACTTTATACAAAATAATTTAAACTACAAGAATTAAGTAGAGAAGTGGTTGAACAACTCAAATCCCAAAAACTCATCCATTCCCATTGGAAATTTCAAAGAGCAATCATGTGAGCTTTCTTTTCATAGTAAAGGCCCCAACCAAATTAATTTCAGAGTAATCAAATTCAAAAGAAACACAAGATATTTTTGTAAGATTAATTTAACCTTGATTATTTTATTTTGATCCATATATTTTTAAAATAGTAGGTCTATTTTAGTCTCTAGATTTTTTTAAAATAATTATTGTGGCCGTCATCGTTAACATTGAGCATGTGAATTAACATGCTGATATGACATAAGTCAACTAAATTGATTATTTTTTGAACCAACATTAGGCAGGTGCAAAATAACAACAAACTCCAAAATCTTTATTTTTGGAAAGTTAAAAGACATAAATTGATCCCACAATAATATTGAATAGAGGGAGTTATTTGTTTTTCCTCTGCAATTTTTAAAATAAAGGTTCAGATGTCCCTAAAAGTAAGTAAGTAGATGCGAAATATATAAAATGTTGTTAATCCTGATGTGGAACAGGCTATTATTGCGAAAATAGGTGAATACAACCAACTATTATTAAAAATTTCATCTTTGGACCAAAAACAGACAGGGGGAATACCATAACGAGAAAAAGTACCTAATAAAAAAATATTTTTTCAAAAATTTATAGACCAAAAGTGTTAAAATTCAAGGATGAAAATAGTATTTAAATATATACCTATATGTTTAAAACAATATTTTCTCCAACATTATAGAATAAAAGTTTGACAAAAGTATGTTTGAATAATAATTTAAAAAAAAATCTTTTAGTTTGTTTTTATAAATGGCATGTGAAAAAGCCAATCTATTGAAATCGTAAATAGTAATTTTAAGTGTATAATATTTCGATATTTCTAAATCATTTGCTGATAATATAAGAAAAATGAATGAAGATTTAAAATAAAGAGTTTGAGTGATTTATGATGCAAGGAAGGTGGAGATGGGTTGAGCGTGAAATGAAAGGTGTTCTTTAGGTTTAAGAAATTGGCACATTGATTGTTGGGAAGCAAGTGGAGAAAAGTCTTCTCCTTCTTAATAGATTTCCCATTTGCATTCTTTCAAATATTTGATTTCTTTTAACACAAGTTACATTGAGAAAGTAAAATCATGATTGAAATAGGTTTCCAATTTCTCTATAGATCATGAACATTGGTTGGGCACATAATATTCACTCCAAACGAGTCAATGAATCCCTTTCGTAATCTAAGAATTTACAAGGTAAAGGGAGAGCATTCAGATGCTCAAATCGGTACAAGTTGAAATTTAGTGTGTAGCTTTCTAGTACAGATTCACACTTTCCTTTGAAATGATTTTCCCGACTATTTGGATTTATAGGGGATCACGATTGGGGGAAAGTCATCAGCCCCTCATCATTTGAGCAGGATTGTTCTACGGAGATTTGTTAACACATTTACTAACATTCCTTCTCGAAATCGTCAACTGCTTCTAAGGTGGCGGAACAGGCTGAAGATGTGTAGTAATAATGGTCCCCTCCTTGAAGTACCTCTTGGCACATTGCTTGGGTGGTGCGACACATGGCGGTCGCATTTCGCCCTCCACTACTATTTTAACTAAAAAATTTGATTAAATCAATACGATCTTCAAGAACACTCGAAGATTAGGATCCTGCAAAAAATGAGTTAGCACTCCGAAAGTTTTGTCAATATAGGATACAATTTGCTCAATAAATGTTAATATCAAAAGTTCGCGTACCTTACCGTTTAACTTGAGGGTATTTTTAGGGAGCTCATATAACTGTTGGTGTAAAGAATTCAAATTCAAATTCACTGTCATGATGACAGTTATCCACTCGAATGTTGGAACCGAGTTTGGAAATTCCTCTAATGTAAACAATAGAGTTCGACAATTACGTTGCACCAGTTCTCCAAATTGGCTTGTCGAACTCTCGCCTTGGGAGGTTCATACACGTGGCTCCTTGCCGAACTAACAATGACGTGTCCTGTAGGGGAAAGTTTATCTTTATCAACTACAAACATGAATGAGATATATAGATTTTTAGTAGAGATTCATACTTTCCTCTTAAATGGTTTTCCTAGCCGTTTGGATCTATAGGAGATCACGATTGGGGAAAATTTATCATCCTCTCGTCATTTCCTCTTCAGATCGCACGATTCTACGAAGATTTGTGTTAACAAATTTACTAACCTTCCTTCTCGAAATCGTCGACTGCTTAGCGAAGGTGGTGAACTGATTGAGACATGTAGTAATGATAGTCTTCTCTTTGAAGTGCCTTTTGGTGCATTGTCTTGGTGGTGCAACACGTGGCAGTCAGATTTTGCCCTCTACTGTAAGCATGAATGAGATGTATAAATTTTTAGTAGAAATTCAAACTTTCACTCTCAAATAGTTTTCCGATTGTTTGGATTTATAGGGGATCATAGTTGGGGAAAAGTCATCAACCCCTCGTCATTTCATCCTCGAATTGTAGGATTCTATAGAGATTTGTGTTAACACATTTACTAACCTTCCTTTCCAAAATCGTCAACTGCTTCGAAGGTGGTAGAACAAACTAAGATGTGTAGTAATGATGGTCCCTTCCTTGGAGTACTTCTTGGCGCATTGTTCTGGTGGTGCGACACGTGGCAGTCGCATTTCGCCCTCCACTACAAACATGAACGAGATTTTATTTATTTATTATTTATTTCTTTTAACCGTTGCAAGGATGGAAGTAGAAATTTAACGATCAACCATTTAGATGATAATAGATGTCTTATTCACTAAGTTATACTCCAACTAACAAGATCTTTTGACTTACCAATCAAATTTGTGTAACTCAAAGTCAATAAACTAAATTTATATTTAGTTGACACGTAAGTTTATTTACCATATGCTCACATTCAGATTTGATAATTCTCATGGACTACACAACTCATCATATGCTTAGATTTGGTAATCTCATGAACTAGGCTTATGAAATGTTAATCTTTTTTAGTGAACAAATCCAGGATCCAACCCCCAAATTTAACAATAATGCAAGCCTGTTAAAAGAATTATAATGTGGTTTAGGTTTTTTAATATATGCAACCGACAAATCTCATTCATGGATCTTGGAATGGGTCATTGAGAGGACTCTCCAACTATTTATTTATTATTATTTTTAGAATAAACGAATTATTTTATTTGTTTAAATTGATACCACAACTTATTTTAATCAATTAATTTCCAAACCAATCACATTGTCACCCCAACCATATACCAATACCCTTTTAATACAAAAAATATATTTATTAATCCATCAATTGTATGCTGTAACTTTAGCTTAATTAATTATAATCTCAATCTATTTGCCTCCTTTATTGGTTTTTAATATTTACACCAATTACTTAATATTTTTGTAAGTTTTTAATTTGTGTATTGAATATTTCTGGGTCAGTTTCTTTGGCCTGCAACTTTTGAAGTTAGAATTCTAGCTCTTCCAAAATAGTACCTTACGAATATTATTCGGACGGGACCTTCTACCTTAAGATGTGTGGAAAATATCCGAAGTGAAATTTAAGAAATAATAAAGTTTCACGTGGACTTTTTAATCTAAATACTTGATTGATTTGTGTTACGATTTAACGAAAATGATGTCGTAGGGACACACATGGCAAGATTCTACTCCTATCAACATTTTTTATTCATATACATCTAAAACGTAAGGTCTTAATTTGATAAAAGTTCTGTAAAACAAAAATTTAAAACAATTACCAAAAGAATCCCATTCTTTAGAAGATGTAGATTTTTGTCCTTGTATAAATGGCAACAAACATGAGAGCTCTGATCTTTTTAATTAAAAAAATCTCATAATTACATTGAATTTGTGTAAAAACAACTAGCCTCTCTAATATTTGCACAAAAGATATGGATATTGTTCATTTAGTACCTAAGCTTTCATTATTTTATTTTAAAATTATATGTAATATATATACACACCAATAAATATGTTGTTTCCTTTCTAAACTGCCTATTAAATTGTTGGAATGTGAACAATTCAATAGCAAAATTGAGTGAAATAAAACTAAGACAAGTATACAACCTTAGATAAGAGACCAAATTTTGTTAACATTAGTATATTTGTAAGTTACAATAATCTGAAAATACTTACTATAAATACATAATATAAAGACAATTTGAAAAATACAAAATTTACCCAATTAAAAGAGGGTCTAGAAACTCGATGATGAGAAAAAGAACCATTTAAGTACAATAAACCATTTTTATATCATTCACTGACCACTACTAAATTTTTGAGAAATAGAATATTAAAGAAATGCAAAAGAATAAATATTTTTTCTAACATTTCTAAAGAATAAATAAAGGTCAAATTTGTAATAAAAGTAAGAAATGGGTATTGTGATGGGTTGGCTTATTGGAGAGGCAACCACCTCCACTTTTTATGCAGCTGTGTTTTTGGGTATAAAGTAAATATAAAGATATTATAGGGATAAGGGATAGGATGGGGATTTAGGGTTTATAAGTTATTTGTTTAGTTTTTAAGGCTGCCTTCTTAGCTTACCTTAGCTGTATTCACAAGCAATGTCACATGCACTTTCACCATTTGCCTTTAGATCTCTCATGATTCCACATGTCTTTCACATCTCACACTATTCTCCTTTATACTCTTCTCTCTCTCCTCTCCTCTCTCTTTCATCCAAAAAAAGAAAAATAATTACTTTATGTTAGTTATAAATTAGGTATTGGTTCATTCTCGAGCGTAAGCCTTTGTAAGATATGAATTACAAGGATTAAACTGTAAGATACTAAAAGTTTTAAACTATAGGGATCAAATTAGTTGTATATTAATGTTTAAGGGCTCGATTGTTATTTTTCTATGAAAGTACATGGACCATAAATGTGTTTTTTTATGGTATTTAAAAAGATCAGACATCATCGTTAACTCATTTCGTAGGTTGTTGGTTTAGTGCTTGATCCTCCCTTTTTCTAATTAACCTCATGTATTCTACTAGAATCACTCCATCTAATTGTGTATAAGGGAATAAGATATATATACCAATATGATGATATATTTAAAGGAAAAAAAAGGTTTGACATTGGATATGATGGGTTAATTGATATATTAGTTGTATTGTGAAAGTTTAATAAATAAAATATCATTGATATGAAAATAAATACTAATAATGAGTTTTTATCTTTTGAAAAAAAAAATAATTTTTTGGTTTATTTAAGTATGATGTATGTACACTTATTTATATATATATATATATATATTTTGGTCGATGTTGATTCTTTTATTGATATCTTTAGAAATTAAGATTTTAATATTTTTTACCTATGGTCCATGAATACATTTTTTTTAGTACAACATGTGGGAGTGGAGATTGAACTCACCACCTTAATTATTGCTGAGCTATGCTGGTTTTGGCGGTGCATGGACACTTATTATTAATTGTATGTTTGAATTTGAGGAAAATAAAAACTTATTATTAGATATTGTAGCATATGCATACCTATAAATAGTTTCATATGACTCTCAAAAGAATTAACAAGACATGATCCTGGAAGATTTGTTGTTTAATTGACAACCAATGTCGATATATCCCTTTTCTTTTTTCTTTTTATGTCATATTCAAGGTGTATATTGTTTTCTAGTTTTTTCCCCTGAAATTAAGAATAAAATAGTATATTTTAGTTTTTGAATTGTCGTCTTTTTTTTTTCTGTCCTTGAATTTTCGTTTACAAAAATTAATTATTATCCTAAATTTTTCATGTTCTGTTTAATAAAAATCTAAGGGTATATATTTTAAGGATCGGATACATGCGCCAAGTATGTCTCGTAATATATTTGTTAAACGTCTTATAAAAGCTTAAGTCATAATAACTAAAATAATTTTGTTTAATGTGATATTAAAAAATTAAACATAATGTTGGAAGACCTTAAAAAAAGAATAGGTACAAAAATTTTAAGGTTTTAAAGAAATAATTAACAAGATCACCTCATGGACGGACGGATTTTAAATAATCAATTAGATAAAAAAAATATTTTAATGCAAGATTCTTTTCCTCATTAAGGTTTAATTATTTGGTCAATCATGATTCTAATAATGTTTAAATAAGTAAATTTCTCAAAAATGAAAAATTCTATATTAAAATAGGGTGAAAATGTTAAATTGTGTTGTTATATTCTTATATTAGTGTAGATGTGTTTAAAAAGGTTATAATAAAACTCCCATTTTATACAATTATTTAGAAAAAAAAAGTATTAGTTTTTAATTGATTAAGGCATTAGTAATATTTGTTATCAATCGGCAAGACTCAAATATCTACTATCACATATATGTTATATTCTAAAAAGAAATTAAAAATAATTATGTTAGAACAAATAATTTATGATATAATGATACAAAAAGAAAATTTTAAATAGAAAAAAGAAAATAATCTAACCTGAAATAAGTTAAAATATCGCCAAATATTTCCAATGTTATTTTTTGACCAGAGAAGGTCATTTTAGTTGACCTATCAATAAAAATATAAAAATATTGGTCAAATGAATATTTCTTAAAATAACATCAAAATAAATAAAAAAAATTGTACAGTAAATAAATATTTCAAAATTTTAAATAAATTATAAACCCCTATTATATTAGTATTAACATCCACATCAATGGTATTCTTATGAAAAGTTTTAATCTCATCAACATTTTTCAAAGTACTTTCAAAATTGTTGATTAACCCCTCCTTATATCAACATCAAACATGAAAAAACTCGTATATATTTTTTAAAACATGATAACCTTTTCATTTTCAAATATATAACTTCCCTTTTGAAATTATTTTAAATTATACTATTGTTATAAAGTTTTAAACGTCCCACCGTATTCTAAAATACATTTTTATATATAGTTACCTCAAAGAAATATAGATATGTTGATAAATATTTAACCCCGAATCTTTTTACAGTACAGTAAATGCGAATTTGAAAATTTGAACCTCAAATTATAAGGTAAGGCACATGTCATTTCGATTGAACTATGCTTATGTTGACATTATACTTCGGATCAAAACTATATTCGAGAATATATTTCGAGATCACTCAACTCATATTACATGAGAATTAACGTGTCCTCAAAGTGACACGTGGCGGGAAACAAAGGGCCTATCCAATAAAATAACAATTGGCGTATAGTAAAGCGCGCTTTATCTATCCACCTGTCTGGACGAGACGTGTCTCACACGGATAATGCAAATTCCCTTTTTTTTTTCTTTTCAAATTTTCAAATTTTAAATTTAGATTAAAAGAAAAGAAAAAAAAAACAATGGGATATCCGTAAACCACTTTGGTCCACTCGTTTCTCCATTCTCTCACGCCTCTACCTTCTCCGCATCATACTTTTCAATTTTCTCTAATTATCCTTTTTTTCTTATTTTTCTCTTCCCTAAAAAATATATTACATTTATAATAATAATTATTATTATTAAATTTTAGGTCCACCAAATTCCCCACTTACCCTTGAATGTGACTAGACATTGCACATCGCCTAATCAATCTTGTTTTCATGTTTAATCCTTTTTTTTTTACCCATTTCACTTCTTTCTAATATTATACCCTTATTTTTACCATAGGTTATTCCGTAATTTCATCAAAATTTAATCTCCAAGCAAAATCACCCAAAAAGAAATTTACAAGAAACTTAGTTTAAATATAATCGCACACTAATCGTCATTCGCTAAGTATATGTATATTTTTCTTTTCCAGCATGATCGTAAAAATTAAACTCTTAATTACAAAGAACCACTATTTTTTTTTGTTGGTAATGTTTTTTTTTTTTTGGCTGGGGAAAAGTTTAAGGAGGTTGCGTATGGGGAAAGAAGGGTGCCACGTGTCAAAAGCTATCTTGTAGGAGTGGGAGTTATTACGTTGAGAACCAGTCTCTCGATAATTACACGGAAAAGGGAGAGAAAAGAAAGGGTTTTGGTGGGTTTAACCCGATATAGCCGGTAACACGATGGCTGCCCACCGGATGAGCCGGTTTCATGGTCAAATATTTTAGGATATATGTCTGTAAGAGGTTTTAGCCACTGTTTATGTCCTGTTTTTTCATTTCTTTTCTACCCAGAAACGGGGTTTTGTCTTCTCCTCTCCATTTTTCACCCACAGATATACGAATTTCATTTCGGATTTTGATCTCTCAATTAATTCTTCGGGAATTGGATTCTTGATTTCATGGATCTCTTCCGTTTCCCCACTGAATTCCGGATCCCCCCTTTGAAATTCGTGTAATTTGGCAACATCATTATTCTTCTTCTTCTCGTCGAATAATTTGAAATCTGAGCTCGAATTTGGATCTTGTTTTGAAATAAGATCATTCTTCCACAGGTGGGTTTTCGATGTGTTTTTTTTTCCGCAGAGAATTATGGAGTTTGAGTTGTGGTTTTGTGGGTCGTGTTCTTCGGGTTGTTTGGTTGTCGTGAAGAACGGGAATCTGTCTGAAATTTGTCTTTCTTTGGAGGGTTTGGTCTCGTTTGTTTGATTTCTGTTGAAATTGTGAAGAATTGGGTCTTCAGAAATTGTCTGTTGTTTGAAACTTCTGTTGGGTTTAAGATCGGATCCTGGGGATTGACTTTTCTTCTCGAAGTTCAATTCTCTGATCCGATGCTCAGGTTTTGGAATTGGGTTTTGATTTGGAATTCTGAATTTGCCTTTTTTTTTTCAATTTCTCTAATCTCTTTGCTTCTAAGCTGCACCAAGTTGAGTTTTTGAACTGCGATCTCTTGCTCCAGATTTCCCAGTTCAAGTTTCTGTCTCACCCATCAATATGTTTGTGACATTGAAATTTTGCATGTTCTTTGATTGCTAAATCTGGGTTTTCTTTTTCTTGCTGACATTATGAAACTTTTAGCTAGTGCTCCTTTCGTATGGTTGGTAATAATAAGAGAGGATGATAAGAACATTGCTTCGACATTGTCGAACTGGAGCTGCGTTTTTGCTGCATTTCTATTCATATGGTGTTCGTCCTGTCTTTGATTCAAATCCCAAGTTTCAGATTTGGATGAGTTTTTCTGAATGTTGTTTCGATTGATGACAGTGAAAGTGGCGAATCTCTGCGCGTTTGATGAGTTTGTATGGCAATGAATGCCTAAGACATGGTGATGAAGAAGAGATTGGATAATGGATTCAGTGGCTTTTCGGACTGGACCGTGCCGAGAGGTCCGAGATCTCTTAGAGTGAGTAAATTGCGTCTTCATATTTCCCTCTATCGCTCTTTGATATGTTGAACTGCATCGTAATTACTCGAGTTTCGTCTTTGATTCTAGAAGAGGGTTCATCGGAAGGAAGATTTCGAAGATGGCCAGATCTGTGCAATTGAATTGCTGGCTTCTTTAGCAGGGAAGCTTCTGCAGGATGGCGAAAGCACGGCTTGTAGTAACACGTCTGATGGGGATCACTCGGTGATTGGAACGAATGTTGTCAAGGAAGAACGATCGAGCGAAGAGAAAGCTTTCAAGGTGGAATGCTGTGATGGTGGTAGCTGCGAAAGTTGTGATCTTGTCTTAGGAAAGACTGATCAGAAGCAAAATTTGAAGAAACCCCAATATGTAGATAATAATACTGTTTTCGATTGTACTTCAGTAGTCGTAAATTCTAACTGCTCGGACGAGGCCTGTGGCGATGTTAAGCATGTGATTTGCAAGGCGGAGTTTGGAGATTACGGTGCGAAACCGGAGGAAGGCTCCCCTGATTTTCAAGAATCAACTGACACTGGTATGAAGACTGTAAATGAAGAACAACACGAGGCTAAGGGATTTGGAATTGGATTTCCAAACATGGCTGATTCACACAATTCTAAGGGCTTTAAAAAATCCTATGGGAAATCATCAACTATGGCCAATTCGAGCTTCAAAACTAAATCGCCATTGTCGACCGATGCAATTCGTAGTTCTTTTTCCAGATATAGGAATTACTTTTTAGCAAGTAGAGATGATGATGAAAAATTTAGGTTCAATAAATCTAGCATTCACTCAAACTCGTTTAGGCCTCCATCGCGAATTGCAGGTCGACGAATAAGGAAATTACTGAATTCGAAACACTGGAAAGCAGCTCCAAAACTGAAGGACTGTGAGGTTCCTAGATCTGGTGAGATTTCTTAAATGCTTTAGACTACATTTTCAAGTTTTCGTCTTGGTTCGCTCCGGGTGTAATGTCTCACTCCGGGTGTAATGTCTGTCTCTGTCATTTACTTTTCGCTTTCGCATCAGAATCTATTGATGAGGAAACAAGAAACCCATTTCGCAAGAGGAAGTTGTATTTCCAAGGTGATAGACTTTGTAAACGTAGGCGATTTTTCGACCGAAGCTCCATGGTGAATTCTGATGGAGGGATGAGCAGTGAAAGCGTTACCAACTCTCCCGAGAAGATCATCCATGTCGATAAGACTGGCTTAGCTGCAGTATTGCATGGAGGTCCTTAGCTACTTTGTAACTTTAATTTAGAGTTCTTTTTTGACCTTTGAAACCAACATTTCTGTTCTCTAGTAATCTCAATATATTTCTTCTATGTATTTTTGCAGCAAGTATGGCAACATCAGGCCAACAAGCATCCTTCCCCTCCAAAGATGCTCATGGTATGAAAGTTTCTTGAAGAGTACTTCATTGATCTTGTAAATTTGGTAACGAAACGGTTTCTCATTGCCTGCTCGTCAATTGTTCGACAGTGAAATTTAGCATTAGATCATTCAAGGTACCAGAGTTATTCATTGATGTGCCCGAAGATGCTACGGTTGGTTCCCTGAAGGTAAAATGAAGTGCAGCTCACCTTTGAACTAAACATAGATTGTATTTTCTTGTAAATTACTTCTTTCATCCTATAATGTGTTTCAACTTCTTTATGTGAATGAAGAATGTTGGTAAAGGATCTTTCTCCCTTTCCTGAATAAGTTATTTTTGTCCTGTAACTTTCTTCAGAAGATAGTACTTGAGGCAGTAACCGCTATTCTCAAGGGCGGATTACGCGTCGGGGTTCTCGTTCACGGGAAGAAGGTTAGAGATGACAACAGAACCCTATTGCAGACCGGGCTTTCTTGTAAAGATAATTTGGATACTGTTGGTTTCTCGTTGGAGCCAAATCTTGTGCATAATACAACTATACCTTTGTGTTCCGACGATCCTCCTTCGATGTTAGAACATGACACGTCCGAACTCCTACCCAGGTATATCAATACATTCAAACACACAACTTGAGTCTATTTCCTTTATCTCGAGATTTTGGAGGGCTTGGGAAGTTTTTGCTTTTGTTTCCTTGGTTCAAGTACCTATCAAGAGTTCGTATACTTCAAATGTTAGCTACTGTCTGATGTAGCTTATATGCTATGTCACTTTCTTTACAGCTCGCCTGTAAATCCTGTTTCGAGCTTGGAAATACGTGATGTCGCCTTACCTAACACTACGTTGACCAACTCCCGAAACCAAGATGAAAATAAACACGAACTGATTACAACAAGCATTGACAAGTTACCTGACGATTCTTTACAAGATTGCAAAGCTTTAGTTCCTGTTCCAGAGATGACTATGGAGCCACTAGCTGTAGTTCCCTTGAATCCAAAATCTAAGCGTTCCGAAGTTGTACAGCGTCGAACAAGGAGACCCTTCTCTGTTTCAGAAGTAGAGGCACTAGTTCAGGCCGTTGAGGAGCTAGGAACTGGAAGGTTTGTCGATGCTATAACAACATCACCGTCCGTTACCGAAACACAAGTTTAAACAAAAGATTCAAACCATGTGTTTCCTTTTTGCAGGTGGCGGGACGTTAAGTTCCGTGCATTTGAAAATGCAGATCACCGAACTTACGTGGATTTAAAGGTGGCTTTCCTTCTCCTTAATGTGTTCGGGCAATCGATTTCTATACTTAAAAAGTAAGATTGTAACCTGATTAGGATGTGTTGCAGGACAAATGGAAAACATTGGTTCATACGGCGAGAATATCGCCTCAGCAGAGAAGGGGCGAGCCTGTTCCCCAAGAACTTCTGGACCGGGTGCTGGCAGCACACGCTTATTGGTCGCAACATCAGGCAAAGCAACACAGTGGCAAGCATCATCAAGCTGGAGTTGTGAAGGCCATTGAGGGCTCCAGCAGTTAGGCTTGTCATCTTAAAGAAGACACCCACATCATATGTAAAAAGGAATAGGTAAAATTGACACTTTGCTGTAATCAAATCAAGAAAGACAAACTGTAAGCATTTCAAATTGCTGTATTCTCACACTTCGATTCGTTGTTTAGTTTCCCATTGGGAAGAGTTGTCATTTGTAAATATGATTCTTGTAATAATGAAATTCTAACAGAATTCTTTCTGTCTGTAGACATTCAATGTATTCGGTTTTATTGCAGTCAAATCAATGTCATGAAACTCAACTGTAAATCTTTGCTGGGTAATATTTTGACCCAAGTTATTTTTTCTATTCCTATGCTTCTAAGAAATTTGTAGTTAGATATGGATGATCTCATCATTGGACAAAGTTATCTCGAGTTTAACATTTATTTGGATGTAATTTAGGCTGGTGTTGGATTGAGCATTTTTTGGTGGCCAAGTTTGAGTGTTTTTTTATTGGAATTGGATATTTTGTTAGTTAACTTAAAAGGTTGACTATCAAGCAATATAGATATTAAGTTTCTACTCATGCAAGTTTTTAAGTCTAATTTAATAAAATTGAACTTAAACTTCCAAACTAACTTGCTCAATTAGCAAAGTGCAAGTGTAAAATGAATTTCTTTCACCTAAAAAATACATGGTTGTTGTAATGGCAGGTATTTGCTAAGGATATGTATTGATTATCGACATTATACTCAGAAGCATGTTAGATTATGGCTAGTAAGTAGTATACATCAATTAACCATAAATCGACAAGAATACAGCAGCCATTAGCCAACTTAAACTCAAACTCAAACTAAAACGAGTACCGTAATTGGTATCTGCGAAGCCAATCCTCACCCTTCTCGTAATAATCCATCCTACTGAAAGTTTGTGTTGTGAATTCTGGGGCAGCAGCATAAACAGAGGCCCCCCGCCATGCGTCAAGAACTGGATCCAATGCTCTGACCACCCTAATAGGTGAACCGCATGGCCTGACCATCCGGATTCCAGCTTCTAAGCGTTCCCTTATGCCGGGAAAAAGACTACTCCCACCTGTCATGAGTATCGAATTGGTTAATCTCTCTGCAATATCGTCACTGTACGACGGCAACCTCCGTAACGAGACACCTGTCATTTCATCTAACCCTGTCTGGTCAACTCCAATCCAGTTGGGATGAAATAGAATTTCGGGGCATCGGAACCTTTCAACCCCCATAACAATCTGGAAATCTTCCTTGGTAAGAGGACGGAGTTTTGGCACTTCGGTTGGTTGAACAACATCTGACTTGGGAATAAAAGTGGGGTCTATGTCCTAGTTACATTAGTAAGGCATTAGATTGATATCTCAGCCAACTCAAGATCAAGATATTGAAATTAGTAATAGGTAAAGCTGACTATGACTTATGTAAGTTGCGACTGACCTGGAGCCTAGATGATAAACGAACTAATTCAGCTTCCTCCTCATCAGGACCTTCATCGTCATCATCATTGTTATCCTTGCTCATAAGTTTGTAAAGCTGCCAATCCTCGTCTCTTGCACCGAAGGTGTCCTCACCCTTCCCACGGTCGAAGGCTGCTGTGGTTAAAAGTCGCATCCTCTCCCTCTGGGCAGCATTCAGTCTCTCACCACGCCCTACTCCTCCAGACAAATTATTCCGATTTGTATGGCCTCCATTAGTCTTCAGTCGTTTTCGCTGCTCCACTCTTTCAGAAAGATCTTTGTATTTGGCACGTAGTTCCCCTAAATAAAGCTCAGGATTCTCCCTACAACAGAAAAGAAATAGAAAGGGGAAAACAAGTATCAATAAAACAGTGGTTCATAGAAACGAATCCAGTATAATGGCATCATAGTATTGCAACCATTCAAATGAACAATGATAACTTCCACCAAGCAGTTCTTTATAACGTAGGAAGAAAAATGTGTGCATACAATCTTCTTTCTTCATCTAGCTGGTTTCTCCTTTCTCGTTCCAGCTCTTCTTCATAACGTTTCTGCTTGGCTCGCTGCCGTCCTTCAGATGTGGTTTTAAGAAACAATTGTCTTTTTTTCTCTTTGAGCTGCCAAGAAACTCAAACTGCATGAATTTCAATCATTATAAACGAGATGCATTTATTTCGGCAAGGAAGTTATTTCCTTATGAAGAAATGCACTAATATCTATTGGGACCTTGTCAGGATCATATTTAGACAATATATAGCAATGGTGAACAATAAAAGAACAAATATTTAAAGCATTCAGGTGCTTATCAGACATAAGCAGCCTTTTACCTGCTCAGGTGACAGCATGTCATCAGGGACATTAATGAGATGGAACTTTTCATTTGTGGCATCTGTCTGTTCCTCAGTTTCCACTTGATCATCCTTTGGTTCGCCCTTAGCTTTCCGCAAAGATTGTGTTGCTTTCGTCAGAGCAGACTCAATTTCCTGCCTAGAGACGTAGCCAGTCTCTGACAAGAAGGATGGAATATCAGCCTCTGCCACTTGCACAAGCTGCTGCAAAAGAAACTCCAAACCACGCACTTCATTTTCTAGTTCATTGATCCTTGAAGATCTTTTTGCTTCAGCCATTTCTCTCAATCGTTGACCTTGTTTCTCCTTTATTGCAGCCTTTCTTGCAATCTCTTCTTCTGAAGGAGGCTCTTCAGTAGGTGGTGGAATCCATGGGAGTTGCCAACACCTAGTTTTCTCTTCTGCTTCCTTGGTCCCTTTCTGTTCATAGGTTCAAGAGATGATCTCAAACTGAGGTGAAGGGACCGATACACATACAATGATAATAGTAACAATAATAATGATAATAAAGCCAAGAAGATTGCCTGAAACAATTAACAATAATAATGATAATAAAGCCAAGAAGATTGCCTGAAACAATTGAGCCTCTGATGCATAATCTGACGCTATATAGCAATGCTCCATCTTCAGGTCTTCGACCTTCTCCCATGTGAATCTGGTCCTATCCCATGAATAAAAGTAATGATTTTATGACAACTTTACAGCCACTAAACATGTTAAATGAATTCTACTTACATGTGATGAGGGTACTTTAGTGAAAGAAGCTGCTTCAGAGAATCAGTCACATTATATCCACCAATATTGGTTCTGCAGCATCCTTTATAAATGGGCTCCCCATCAATGAACTGATAATAAAGATCAGCGATAAAAACTATCATCGACTCTCCAATAAAATCAAGTGTTCTAGATGCAGTTCATTAAACAGTCAATTCTGAAATATATGCATGAATAGCACAACCAAAAACATCAAAGTTGAGTGCTTCAAACACTCAACCTCAAATCTACAAAATTACAACCATGCCCAAATATTGAAGAAAAGTAAAGTTAATTGACTAAAAACAATATTAATACCGACTCCAACTTTGCTATGGTCAGAAAGATCAAAAGCAAGATGCTTTGGTGCATTGTAAGCAAGAGCGCAAAAGTATGCACAGTGGCTACCAACATAGAAAGAAAAACTGTATATCCCAGATAACATTAATCCTCAACATTCTGGATTAAGTCTGGTCCTACAAAAGAATGTTCTGGGAGGGAGGGGAGAGATAGTAACATTTCTGACATGAAAATAATTATCGATGTTTAAAAACAAAAACAATAATTAATTTATGAGTTCTATGAACTAGTAGGAGGATGAAAGAATATACAAACCGGAATAACATGGCTTGCAGTAAATCCTGGGGAGATAGCAAGGCCGTCTTTATCACAAATCCCAAGTTGTTGGTTGTATTTATAGCTGAATGCCGCATCAACACCATACGCTGCAGTAAAGTGATAGGGAGAAAGGTAAAAATATTACCAGGTAGTACCCAATATTATAAGTAAATTTAATTAAAGGTTATGTCTAGAGGTTTTTACTTTTTACAACAAGCCAAAGATAATAGTTTAAAGTTTGTACACGATCTTCCTTTTTCTTTTGCAAAATTATATATATATAGCCCAGCAGAGATGGGCAGCCAAAGAAAAGAGCTTAAAAACATTACTTCAGTGAAATTATGGTGCCCATTCATTATAAGAACATAGTAAATTCAACAAGTACCATACCTACTGAAGGAACTCCATAGGTCTCAAATAAAAGCTCTGCCATTTTACTACGAGATTGAACTGGATTGCATACACATTCTGTTATCAGGACAGGGTGATCAATCTGTTCTGCCCTCAAATGAACATAAATCAAATTAAGGACTTTGTAAAAATAATTATGGACTAGTAAAAACTAGCACTATTTGAAATTGTAAGTAAAAAAATTAAATTCAAACGTTCATTGGAGTTAAGCAATAGTAACAAACAAGAATAATGCATATTGAAATAAAAATACTAATACTACCAGTTTCACCATCTAAGTCATATTCTATACTGTCATTAATGTCTAAACTATATGTAAGTTTATGTTCAAATAAAAATTATGAATCAAAACATTCATTTCAACACATTACCCCAAAAGCAGCCAGCCCTGATAAGACAAATACTATAAGCAGCAGCCCCAACTGTTGGTGATTGCAAAAAGAAATAGTATAAGAACGATAAGAAAAAGTTTCAAATTATGTACCCAAAGAAAGGAGCTAAGCAAAAATGCACCAACTCTAAATCACTTCCCACGAAGCATGTCCTATCTAAATTCTAAACCCAAGGTGGTTCTCCCTTTTCTTTTTCCAACCAATTATTCCAAACAGCACAAAACCAATTTTCCATAACAAACAGCCTTTATCCTGAAGTGGAGGATCCAAGACAGCTTACTCCGTCATCATATTGATGTTCAAGCTAGGAACAGAAGATATACTAGAAGTCTACCAAAATAGTAGGGTTATATGAGAGATCATGGAATGGGGTACAGAAGCCCATAATCAGACTGGAAAGATACAACAAACATTACTAGCAAGAAGCGGAGAGAGAATGCAAGGAGGAATGGCAGCACAAGACACCAAAAAAAGGTTGAAACTTAATGTTCACATAATTACCTCTGATCCATTTGCTCCCAGCCGATCGAATCCGAAGTCAAGAACCTAAAAGATACAACGAAATATTCAAAAGCTATATCACCACATTCTCTTAGTTCAGATAAGTACACATGGACATGCACTCACTGACACCCAGTCCAAGAAGATGTTATTCACTCGTCTAAAATTTATCCATTACTTTTATAGCCCACATAAGCTTACCTCAATTAACAAGTCCATACAATGAGTTTAGTGCATGTATGTAGGTCCTAATTCAAAGTGGCACTGGATAAATCAATAATCCAACTTACATATTCCATAATCTCAAACTGATAAACAACGTTGCCATCAAAAGCAGAGCGAGGACCTGAGCGTGTGCAATCGA